GCCCGTCGGCGCCAGCGGCAGTCGGCGACGGGTGGAGAGGCTGCTGATGCGGTAGACGCGGGAGAGCCGCCCGGCACGCAGCACAGAACGCACGGAGCCGCAGAAGGCACCGCGGCTCGGCTGACCCGACGGGCGCGGGAGAGCCGCCCGGCAAGCAGCACACGCACCACAGACAGACCAAACAGCGGAGCCGTAGGAGTCGCCGCGGCTCCGCTAACCAGACCAGCGCCGGTCGCTAGCGCGCTCCTCGCCGGCCGAGCAGCCGGGGCGGGAAGGCTGCCGACGGGGCCGACCGTACGCCAGGCACGTAGGCAGCCGCTACTAACCCCAGAATACTGACGTGCGGCCCACCGGATGGGCTGCGTCCGGCTCTCTGACGCGAAACGGCGCTGCCCCGGGCTCGGCGATCGAAGGCGCATGTGAACTTCTGCCCCCCCCCCCGCGCGCCCCGCCCCTCCCCTCCTCCTCCCACAGCGCCATACGACGTGACACTACCTCCAACCCGATAGAGCAACAGCCTAACGTGACAAAAGTACTAGCCCACAAAGCTTCCAGCCCACGCGACTAGACCACAAGGTCCTCGCAACCCACCCGACTTAACTAACCCGCAGGATTATCCGCCCGCTGCATTTGTCCCCCTTCCCCTCCCCCGCACCTCTAGCAACACCGCGCGATCAAAACAGCTCCAAATCCACAGCCCCCGAGAGCGGCTTCCGCCGCATCGAGCAGTTGGGCGGCGCACCGACCGGGCGCGTCCCGGGAGGGGGGGGGGGGGCGTAGCACGTCACCGGCCGCCCGCCCCAGGGAGCGCCAGCACACCGGCCGGGGCGCGCGTGGGACGCGCCGCCACACGTGGCACGCCGCCCTGGCCGCGCCTGCCGCGCTGGACGGCCACGTGGGACACCGCGCCGCCCAGAACTCGATGCCCACGCCCGTCTGCCGACTGCACGTGGGACCACGAGGCGCTGCGAAAGCTGCGCGCGTGGCGCCCAGCTTGGCGCCAGCATGGCGCCCAGCATGGCGCCCATGGCGCCACTCCCAGGCGCCCACAAAGCACACGCTGACGAAACGGCCGGCGCAGGGCCCTCGCTCCCCACGAGGAAAAACCAAACGCAGCGCCATCGATGAGGCCGTTCACGGACTGCCCCGGCCTGCATGGATTCGGCGAATGCCTCAGGCCGGCCGGGCCGGGCCGCTGGCGGCTCTGCTGACGAGGGGCGAGCCCCGCCCGGCCGGCCCGGCCCGGCCTGTTAGCGCGGCTCGAGCGGAGCGCGCGGGGGCAGCGAGGCCCGTCGGCGGGACGACCGCAGCGTCCGGCTGCCACGCTGGCTGCCGCGCCCGCACCGCAAATACTGCTGATCGGTGACACGGTCTGGAGTTCGGCGCTCAACTTGACGCCAAGAGTTCGGCCGGAAATGATCTGCAGAATAGGCATGAGTAGTGTTGAAATGTGTTGCAGGGGCTGTTCGACTCCCCAGTTACCTAACAAAGCGTGAGGGCTATAGGCCTTTCAGGGGGACCGAAATGACGAAGGGGCCAACATGCCGCATATGCCCGCTTCAAGTAAACAACCCATAACTTGCTCCGAGGTGAAATAAAGGCAGCAATGACACCGTTGGCAGACCGTGTAACAACTTTCAAACACGAAAGACACGCCAGGTGCGTCAGGTGCTGTGTTCCACATCTGTCCACCATGACCTCCGGCCGGAGCTGGTTCGCGTCAACTGTCACTTGCCACGGCACGCCCGATAGCCCGGCGCGATCTCCCGCGGGCATTCCGGACACCGGTTGCCATGGAGCCGGCCGCGGGCGGAGGCGCGCCAGAAAAGTGGCGGGACTGGGGCGTGACCAGCACGGGGGCCACAACAGGTAGAACGCTCACAAAATCAGCTGAGACCATGCCACCGATGAGTGCTGTCAGATAAGCGCCACCATGGTATTCTTAAACAATGGTCACATTTAAAAGTCATTTGCGGTAATTTGGAAAATGGTACCATGGGGAAGTGTGCTAACAACGCTTAGCGATAACCTCCAGGCGCGGCATCTCTGTGGCGTCATGCACCATCGGTGGTCAGACCATTTTCACCGGCGGAACTCGCAAACACGCACATGCATCGGGCATGTTGCGCAGCACCAATGGAGCCTCCATGGGCACGGAACGGCACATCCGGCCGCGAAACGCCCTCGCTGGCGAAACCCCAGCGGAAAACGGCCGCTCTGTTTGAGCCCGGCCGCCGGCCGCGCGGCCGCCGTCAGCTCCACGGGCAAACACAAGGCTGCCGGCGACAAGCCTCCCCCGCCGCCCCCGTCATCCGCGCTGACGCGGCGGGCGGCGGGCCGCGCGCCGCCCGCCGGACGTCCCCGCCAGGCCGGCCGGCCGCCAACGGAGCGAACACACAGACGGCACGCGCCGCACCGCGCCGCCGGCCGGACCTTACACAACAGCCGGGACGGCCCCACCGTGTCATCGCCGGCGGCCGGCGGCGGCCGGTCGGCGTCACCGACGCCCAGCGGCTCTCCGCGCTGCAAACCGGTTATTGCTCAAAGGCACGGCGGCAGCGGCGGCGGCGGCGGCGGCAGCGACCAGCGGGCGGGATATCGCCGCCTTTGTGTGACCCCCCCCCCCCCCCCCCCCAGCGCGCGACGACTCGCATCTGTATTCCGATCCACGCACTCGGCCGGCCGCGCCGTGCGTGTCGCCGCTCCCGAATTACCGCAGCCGAGCGCCCTCCGTGCGGGCGGCGGCGGCGGCGGCGGCGGGGCCCCTAGTGGAGCGCCCCGCCGGGGAGGGAGCGTCCTCCGGCGGGACGGGCGGCGTCCAGCAGCCGGTCTGTCGGCATCAGGCGCTGCGCCGAGTCACACGAGCCCCCGGCACGCCACATGCATACCACGGTGCACCTCTCTGGCCCACAGCTGACGTCGCCCTGTCCGGCGGACACCTCCCACCGTTCTGTGCAAAGGAAACTCGGCGCCGCCCTGTCCCCCGGCACAACGGTCCGTCCGTCCGGCGGCGCTCCTGACGCTGCCCCCTCTCCGGCGGAGGCGTGTCCCGCCGTGCCGACCGTGTGAGCACGCGCACCGTGCCGTGCTGCGCGCCAGCCGCGCCGTCCCGTCCCGACGGAGCCCCAGCCGCCGGCGAGCCGTCGCAGGGCGCGCCGTGCCGCGCGTGCAGAGACCCCGCTCCAGCTGCGGCCCTCCCGTGTTGTCCTAACGGAGCCGTCCGGCGGGAGCGCGGTCGTCCGACGGGACGCCGGCGGCAGCCTGCCTGGACACCGCGGGACGCCGGCCCGCCCGCGCTCTCCGCCGCCTAAGAACTCACTTGTCGCTTTGTTCACACATCGCACATGCCCACGTCACAGTAAGTCATCCACTTCCGACTAGGACCGTTGGCGTGTGACGTATCACCCGTGACGTCACGGGTGGCCCGGTCACTCTGGCCGCGAGGGGCTTGTCTCGGGCTTGATCAGCAGCGGCCGGCCGCGGGCTCCGACGTCCTTGCCCGGCCCGCCTGTAGGCCGCAGCTCGGGCGCCGCGTAGCCAGCTGGACACTGGACGTGGTGCGGGCGCGTGTTCCCTTCCCCTCCTCCCCGTCCTGCCCAGCTGTCGCCACTCCGCCGCCGCGGTCGCCGCCAGCGCCACCGCCGGATTACCGACGCCGACGGCAGGCAGGAGCGGCCGGAGCCGCCGGCACGTGACAAGGCTGGCCGGCCGGAGCTGAGGCCAGCGCCGATAACCGGTCGGCCGCGCCGCCGCCCTTAGCTTAGGGTCGACCGATGAACGGTCGGCGCGGCCGTTACAGCCGACTCCTTTGACGCTGGGCGCCGCTCCAAGGCTTGCAGCTCATGTGCGCACCGAGCCATCCAGCAAGCGCTTGACATTCATTTGATGATAACGAGGTTTCTCTGCCGTTTTGGGGCCCGTCATACCGCAACCAGAACGACCCGCCGCAGTCCCCAAGTCGTCATCACAACTGTACTGAGCGTGGACTGCCACACACAGCGATAACACCTCGGCCTTTTAAGCGTATATCCCCCGAAACTGCCTCATGTCAATTGCACCACAAAGGTTATCCCCCAGCCGACCCCGCCACGGGGAGAGACACATGGAAGGAGCCATATGAAGAGCTTGAATTGCATGCCCATGTTAATTATGCATTCACAGCGGACACGCGGTCCCTGGGATGCACAAACACAGAAGCAGGCCGTTCACAGCTACAAGGGTCAGCGAGGGCGGCTGATGTTAAGCGGCCCGACGCGAGGCAGAGGGAGTCGGTCAGCGGGAGTCGGACGGCGCCGGGGTCACTCCCGCCAACACGACAGCGCCGGAGGTCACGGCTGCCCACACAACGGCCCGTCACCATCACTCCTCCTATGGAGATTAGGACACGGCGAAACCGGCCAGCAAACGCGGAGGCAAGATACGCGGTGGCGGAGCGAAGACAGCTGGGGAAAACATAGCGACCAACGAAGAGGCTTGTCCAGAACGAATGAGTAACGCATAAGCTGAAGGCAGGCCCGGCATGGGCTGGGAAGGGACGGACACCTCCTTCCGACACAGGTAGACCATCGAATTCAAAGACAGCCTGCGCGGCTAACAAAAACAGAGCCCCCCCCCCCCCCCCCCCCCCCCCCCCCCCTGGAGCCACCGTTTCATCGACAATTGCCACGCTCTATGAGAGGACGGCGCTCAAACAACGCCAAAACGTGACTGCCGCGGATGGCGACGGAGGCACAGGCAGCCCGTCAGCTGACCAGGGAGACGGCTCTAACCAGGGTCAACACTCCTACCACAAGACCTTTGTACCGGGTTCGGTTCCCTCGCCAGCGGACGACGCTAATATCCTTACGCGCCACATACGCAGGACAAACGCAATGTGTGACCGCATGTATGTGCGTCTTCCTGTCGAAGCTTGTTGGCGTTGCGTGCCTCGCCTGACCAAAACACGCAGGTGAGAGCGGCCGGGCCGGTCGGCGGGCGCCGCGGCGGAGCCCGCCACTGACCTTCGTCCTTGCTGGAGTAGAAGGAGGAGACGGCGGCGGGGGCTCGGCTCACGGCCGGCCGCTTCCAGCCGCGCCAGTTGGTGCAGATCGACTCCTGCTCAGAGATCCAGGAGCACAGGCTGTCCTCCTCGAACCTGCCGCCGAGGCCGGGGTCAAGGCCACATGAAACACATCAGCACATGCTGTCCTCCTCGAACCTGCCGCCGAGGCCGGGGTCAAGGCCACATGGAACATATCAGCACAGGCTGTCCTCCTTGAACCTGCCGCCGAGGCCGGGGTCAAGGCCACATGAAACACAACAGCACAGGCTGTCCTCGAACCTGCCGCCGATCCCGGGGTCGAGGTCACATGAAACACAACAGCACAGGCTGTCCTCCTCGAACCTGCGCCAAGGCCCGGGTCAAGGTTACAGGAAACAGCAGCACAGGCTGTCCTCGGACCTGCCGCGCGGCGGGGCAGCAATAGCGACAGCAGCGGCAGCGTGTCAGCGCCACACTATACAGAGCCGGAGCGCTCCAGCGCGGGACGCTTCCTCAAATACATCGCATCCTGTGACCTTGAAGCTTGAGCGCGGGCGCCATGAGAACCGCGTCACATCGCGACGGCCTCTAACAAAAGAGCATCGCCAAACGTGTGGACGATGGTTCGATGACAAACTTGGTTCATTACGACCGTGAGAAAGGTCCGAGACGAGGCCCGCTGAACTTTTACGTGAGAGTGTGGGGCCCAGACACAGGATCAGAGCGCTGGCCGACCGACCAACGCGCTGACCGACCGCCCAACGCGCTGGCCGGCCGACTCGAGCGCTGGCCGACCGAACAGGCGCTGGCCGACAGACCAAAGTACTGACCAGCCGAGCGCACGCTCTCATATCTCGAAGCCAGTACCACTCAGACGCTTTTGTGGGGTTGACGGCAGTTGGTGGACACCCATTGGTGGAATTTTCAATAAAACTAGGCATTTCACAACAGTTCGTTCACATATCCACCAACTTACCGAAAGTGAACAGCACTGCACGCGCAGATACATGAGGAAACGCCGGTAAACACGGTGTTCATCAAAACTGAGTTTCCTAGGTTCTTTAACTTTTTTAACTGTGTTGCCGTCGACCCCTCCCCCATCGGAACGACGCTGACCAGGTCAGGGTCGTGGCCGCCGAACGCAGCCTCCGAGGCCGCCCCGGCCGGCCACCGACAACACGGCTGACGTCACCAGCTCAGGCAGGCCAGCACGCGCCCAACTCCACCGAGGCTGGCCCGTCACGCTGGAGGCCTGGCTGGGCGGGCGGGAGGGAGGGAGGGGGAGGGGGGGGGGGCGAGGGAGGGGCAAGATCGTCGGAACGCGTTCGCGCACGTGAAGAAGCCATTGGTCCCAGCACGTGACGAGGACTGATCCAGGCAGAAGCCGGCCGGCAATGGCTAACTAACGGGCGTAAGGGGCAGGGCACCGGCGGCATACACACATCAAGGGCTTCCTTACCGCGGAAATGACGGGGAAAACTTACAAATTATAACGGAAATTAAAAAACGCCGACGAAACCCACCAGGCAACGTCACCAGCATACAGGGCTGGAAACACGACGTGCTGAGCGGTGGTGAGCCCGAACACATTGCCGACTTTGGTGGGTTAACACGCATCGCTTGCAAGCTTTTTGGAAACGTTGGGACCGAGCCATCACTACAGACAGCTTATATCTAACCAGATGATAACTGTCCTGTGGGTCATTCGCTCGAACAGCTAATAGCTCATAAACTGCTGGCGGCGTTAATATGCAAACTACGTGAGCTGTCGAACTAATATAGGCGGCGAGATGCCCCAGGCATCACGTTACCTTTAATGCTGTGAAGAACAGCAGAACAATGCACAAAAATACAACGGAGGCACAACACAAAAGATACAATGTACCAAGCGCAGTCGCTACTGACACAAGTGGCCGCAAACATCATTTGGTATGCTGGTCGTTCTTCACGCACACTTCTGCCGTCAACGGTACGCTATCCAAATTATTTCGCACGTTCACACAAAATGCGCTTGGCTCAGGCAACAGCAGTTTGCAGGTAACTCGCAGCCACTCCCGGCTGCGCCCACAGTTTTCCGAGCCACAAGACGGACCGACTCGCGTAGCGGTCGCACACCACGATTACCAAGGACTGACGCCCGAGGCCTCACCTGTCCGAATCTTCAAATGATAATTGGTCCGCCTCCCCATTGTGGGCCTCCCAGTCGATCATGGGCCGGCCAGCAGCGGTCACCGATCAGCAGGTCAACAGTGGCGGCCGGCCAGGGTCAGCCGCTGAAACAGCCCGCCGGCACAGGTCAGCAACTGGCCGCCGACAAACGCGTACGCACGCACGCACGCACGCACGCACGCACGCACGCACGCACGCACGCACGCGCGCACGCACGCACGCACGCACGCACGCACGCACGCACGCACGCACGCACGCACACGCGCGCACGCACACGCACGCACCCACACCCACACATACGTAGGCAGGTGAAATGCAGGCATACGTGCAGACTGGTAACTGCTGGCCATGGAACAACAGGTTGGCTACAACTAGTGCCCCCCGCAAAAACCCCCGTTATCGCCCGGCAGGCCCGGCGTAGCGCCGCTGGTGTGCTGAGGACGGTAAGGGTCAGACGCCAGTCGGCGCGCCGGCTGGCGTCTGCCATGCCCCCCCCCCCCCCTCCCGAGTCCACATTACCCCCCCCCCCCCCCGAGTGCTGACATTTTAGCGCGCTTACACCACCGAAAAGATATGTCGTCACACAAACATTACAACACGAACACCTGCGACGCTATGGGGAATGCCAGACCGTCACTCCACTGGACCCAGAATCGGTGGACGGCCCGTGTACGGCATTGGGTGGGACAATACTGCCACGTCTGAAGTAATCTCTGTTCTCAGACTATACCGGTCAATGCTTTTAAAGCCGTCACCACGCCACTCATAGCACACGATTTCATCAGCCGTGGAGAGCCCAGTGACCGCGGGTCATCATGACAGTTTGAAAATCATAATGTGGGGGGGGGGGGGGAGCGTTTAAATGTCATCCCGGCTGTGTAAGCCGCGCATGATTTCCTGGACAGCGGCCTCACTTGGATTTCTTCACACAATGTCATCTACTATTGCAGTTCTGGTGGGTCTGGTGACCTGAGACGGAGCACCAAATTCATAGTTCACACAATGTCATCAACTATTGCAGTTCTGGTGGATCTGGTGACCTGAGACGGAGCACCAAACGCAGAGTTCAGGCAGGTGGCTACACGGTTGCACTACAGCCGTCCTCTCAAAACCAGGAGACAGTACGCCCGGCTTTCGAAAAGCTTTACAAATCGAGATACGTCGTACGATTTCATCAGTCATTTTCAGCCTTGTGATTTCTAGTCAGCGATGTGGCCTTCAAATGCGCGGTTAAACACGAGAACGCACTCCTGCTGTCGGCGATCTTATAAACTAGACGTGAAACGTTGCAGCCTTGACCATGGTAATATCACTACCGTTGTGCCATCGTAGTGGTCTTCGATTAACAGACCTGTGAACTCATCTGATCGCGGCAAGGTACCTGCAAATTTGAACCAACAAAAGGAGCCACGGGCGGCTGACCCCGCTTTTACTTACTCGGAGTCACTTATGTTGTTTGTGAGTTGGGTAAATCATGGAGAGATAAACGTCATTAATTTTTCCCCTCTCCTCTCCAATCAATTTAGAACAAGTAAAAGAACACGCCATGAATCAGACACGATCACACACAATCAGACGCAATCAAACCGTGATTTCAGAGTGATTCATTTGCAATCAGTCAATTACAAATGCAATCAGTGACTGTAGTTGTACAGCGAATGTCTACAAATATCGCTACGCCTTTTTGACCAGTCTTAAACCCATACCCTCGTTATGCGCTGCTCACACTTCCCTAAAACCCCTCGCCTATTGTTATGCTACGTACACCGTAACATTACAGAAAAAGTAATTGTCGTTTAGTTCCTGGTTCAGCTAGAGGGGCGAAACAAGAAAGAGCATGTTGCTTTTTATATCAGTAAGCCGACGGTATATGCATTCCACACATTTTGCTTGAATCTTGAAGATCTTAACAAGACTTGCTCACAAACCTGATCCTAACGTCATGCTGCCCAACCCCACCCACCCGAGCTACTCTTCGATCACGCGAAATCAAAACCCTCCATTGCTCTATAGTTAATTAAACGTACGGACCGTCCCTCATTTCATAGTTTCAAGTTCTACGTAAGTCGTTCAGTGCATTTGCAAGCAAAATTATTCCCATGGGTAAGACAGCAGTAGAGCTTTATTTCTCGGACAAAACCCAGGAGAATGGAAAGGTTGATATTTCGGCAACATATCTTTACAGAAACAATAGCAGAAGTACAATTACTGTAAATATAAACACATTTGTATCTACATCCTCCTGTTTCTTTCTCCGAGAAATAAGGCTATTACTACGCTCCCATCTATGTTTCAAGTTCTGCTAGCAGTGTTTCTTCCCAACTCTCTCAGTGCGCGTACTGTATCGAGCAATAGTTCGGCAGATCGATTGTGGGATTGTGCATCGCATATGTGAGAAGACACATTATTGATATATTGAGAAATGCCACCTTATAGGTACAACCAAAGGCTTAAATCACTCCTTTACATGCCAATCCGCGGCTTACCTAACACACTGCATTCTCCCGCATCTGACAATTATTCTACAACGTGGTACGTTAGTTGTCTGGATGAATGTTGCCTGGACGAATTAGCATCCAAGACGTCGAATGCAATTTTGCTTATGTGCACTTCAAAGTGGTCATATCTTATACCACACATGCTTTGATACGTTTAATATCTTTCGTGGTTTGTAGCTGGATGATATTGCCATACGCCCGCGAATTACAAAAAACTGGCTTTTTAAGAAACTGGCTAATGCTGGGTAAAACATTTGTCCCAAGCCCAAGGATAATGTATTTTCTGCCCAGGGCTGTAAGTCGAGTGGACAATGCAGCAACGGCCGAGGTCCCGAAAAACTATTCTGCCCCAGGTGTGGGATGATTTTTAACATCGTTTGCCTAGCTTGCAAGGTCATTGAACTAAGTAAACTCATTCATCAGTCGCAGGCATCTATTTCCTTTTTAAACATGTGTGAAAGACAGCCTGGTAACATGGAATCATCCAAACGATTTCAACAACTGACTTAGTATTTGATCTCTGCATGCCAAACTCCTTTTACCATACACTCACACTCATGTTAAAGCATATGGCACAGGCCAAACCTAACTGAGTCAGTTTTTCCATCAGCATAGCCTGAACACTGCAATTCCTTCCCCCCCCCCCCCCCCCCCCCCACCTCCCATTCCATCCAGCTATGGATCGGCACATGATGTTTCCATGCCATGCCATATTCAAATTGCATGCTGGGAAGCCAACAAGACCGCCTCGACCTGATCATGCATGCTACCTAAAAGTGTTGGTTTCCTGGCTCACTCGTTTACTGCATCTGAACATCCTGTGCTGCTATCTCATTCAGTTTGTAACTAATTCTGTTAGTAAGAGCTGGAAATAACCATAAATTCTTCAGAATGAGAGCCACAGATACTGGCATGCACACTGGTTAGGCTGTAATGCAGACAAAACCATTGCATAACTTTAAAAACATGACATGTCAGCAGTTAAACAAAGCCAATCCTACCCCTATGGACATGTGATCTTTGATCAATTAATGGTTTAACATGCACTGCATCATTACCAGTCAGGAAATATGGTCATCCCTGAGTGAATAGAATGTACCTGGCTCTTGAGCACTCTATCCAGCATGGCCTCTATTGCAGCATTATGTGTGCATCACAAACAAAAAACACAGCATGTCTGTAAATTTGTTCATATCATTATAAGCTTTTGCATACATGACCTTCCATCCCCAATGTGACAGTTGTCTGTGGTGAACCTAATAAAGTCATGAAGTCAAACATCTTTGGCAACCAATATCTACCAACAATTTTTCAATGTGTTGGAAACTCTATCTTTCAGAGAGCTCAAGACCGCACTGTGGTACACTTTCACAGCATTCACATCCCAGTACACACCTGACCTGTCTGAGAAATGGCTGGCTGGGAGCACTGTGGTACACTTGCACAGCATTCACATCCCAGTACACACCTGACCTGTCTGAGAAACAGCTGGCTGGGAGCTTGGCTAGGGGCTTGATGGGCAGTCATGTCTGGCTTGGTACCTTTAATTGAGGTAATGGATCAATTCACAATCATTCATGATTAACATGAATGTCATAATTGTGGTCAGCAGATTGCAAGAAGACCTTAAAAGCCCTTTAATGAACCAATCTTTTAAGGCTCAGCTCACAGGGTATGGCACCTGAGATCTGTTTCAGCAAAGGTGACATTGATCACTTACAAACTGATTGCTGGTCAGTGACTAATCTACTGGATAAACAGTTCTGATAATTGTCTATTAGATTTGACTGGTACATTTGCTAACACCTCCACCTGGTTAATTTTCCACTCCTTCATCTGCCTGGTTGCCACCATCTGCCATAGCCCTAAAAACAAACCAACATGGGTACATCCATGGTTCACACAAAAACATTGACCACAGGCACATGCCCTCACACCATTTTTCTGCAATCTGCCTTTTCTCTTGTAACATATAAAACTTGTAATATACATAATATAATAATAAATTCAATTATAATGTAACATATAACATATAGCAAAACATAACACATAACTTGGCTCATAATAAGAGCCTATCATTCTGCTTCTCTGGAACGAAACATGTCAGCCTAGTGTTGCTGCAAAGACAGGTCCCCTGAATATGGACCAAGTTCCACCCATATTCTCCAGCTTTTTCACAATTTGAAAATTGAGAATTTTTTTATTGATCTAATAGGTCACATAAAAGTCATGGTAACATTGCAATGATACATGGAAACACTGTTTTAAAAAGGTTAAAAATGTTTTTGTAGTCTAAGAACTTACTCACAAGGATCCTTGCTCATGATACAATTTATCACATATGCAGCAAAGAAAATTGCAAATGATCAGTGACATTACCATTAGGCTTTTGCAATCATCCCCCACCCCTCCTGCACCTGGGGGGGAGCTCAATTCTAGCATATCAAAACAGCCCTCATGGCAGAATCAGATCCTGAGCCTTAAAAAGATCTGAATTCCAAAATAAGCACCTATGGCAACAAGACATGGCCCACTTGGCTGAAAAGCTACACTTGCTAAGCTAAACTTGGCTACATCCCCCACCCTGTCCCCCCCCCCCATACCAACCCAGGTGAAATATTGGCTGCACTACTGCATAACTGCATATTATGCTGGTGCTTTGGGACAAGGTGGCTAGGTAGCTAGGTGGCTAGTGTGAGGTAGCTTTCTATATTACTGTCTATCCGTGGTATAGCAAAGGGAGAGCTTTCAGGACCCTTGCCCCTGGAGGTGGTGGGGCCCGCTAGGGTCAGTTTGACAAATAATCCATCCACTGTTGCCATAGGACATGCACTCTAAACCTTGAGAGCATAAACTCAGGCCAGGCTATGTCTTGCTGGATTTAACACTTTTTCATTGAAAAATGTTCCCAACTATTTTTCCCAAATCTATCTTTGCAACATCACAATGTCCACCATTTTCTGACAGCTACAGGCAAACTTCAGGTAACCAGCACTTAAAGCATCAAAATAGTATCCTAAGCCTTCAAACACCCTCCAAAACAAAACAAAAGATAGAGTCCTGTGGCAATGAGAGGCCCATTTGACTGAAAGGACCCAACATGACACACCTGGCCTTCCAAAGATGAAATCCTAGCAATACCAATGAAGCTATAGCATCTCATTTGTTCAATATGGGGCAGCTTACTATCCTACTACAGGCAAGGTTCTGTTCATCCCAAGCACTGTGTTAGCATGTTTGCCATACCTTGCAGAATAATGCATGTGAGGTAATACAAGGCTACAGGATGACACATTACTAACAGAATATGAGTGATGGGGAGCAGACAAGGGGTGTGTGACACCATCACAAAATTTGATAGAAAAAGGCAGCCTGGTAGTGTAACCATGCTGTCAAAAACCTGCCACTGCATAATTATGACCAGACATATTCTATGTTCTGCATTATTAGCATCATAAAACTCCACAATCTTAATGGAGCACTATCATATTATATATGGCACATCACCTGCCTAAAGAGATATAACTGGAGAAGAGCATTTAACATTGCATGCAGTTGCACAAGGATGACTGTTCCCTTCCTGTTCAGCCGTTTTGTTTACCAAGAGAAACTAGGCAACAGTGCAACGACAACCAACAGCAGCCAATGCCTCCCACCTGCCACTTTTGGGCCACTTAAATGTCACGTTGGGTCTCGTCGACGCCATACAAGGGCAACACGAATTTCTACAACTACAGCGCGGTATCGATTTTCGCGACCCCAAACAAAGGAAACGCTGTAAGGAGGCAAATGTCCAAAAATACTTACCATAACACGCTAGAGGATAACTTGAACAGGTGATCCAGACTCCAGGAAGGTTCACGTTTATACTCGCATCTCACTTGTGGCACACTGGCACTAGCATCACGGACTATTTCTAAATTTTGACACCACACACCACACACGGACACAACCGACGGCAGCGACGGCAGCGACGACCGACAACTGACCAATCACCTTTCAGCTTCCAACAGCTGACAGCCCTCAGGCGCAGGCAGCCGTCGACCCCTCGAATAATGGACTCGCCCTAGCTCCAGTTACACAATTTGATCTACAAAAAAGCCTACATTTCTCACTGAAATGTTCAGCTAAATTATGATGTATTATGTGTAAAATGCATGAAATGAGGTTACAAAAGCATCCATTTATTACAATTGTCTGCAGTTTCTTTATTTCAATACGATTATTCTAGACGACTCGCAGAATAAATTCGCTCTATCAGGAGCGTAAGGAAACAGACAAAATATGCGCACGCGAGACGGATAAAAGAGTCGCTTAATGCAAATCTTGATTATTGTCCTGTAACATGGTAACTGACGGAGTATGGTGGTGAAAGATACTCTATTATTCCGGCCAGCGGGACACGGAATGCACGCACCATGTCCGTCAGACGAAAAATTCCCGCAATTGCAATCTCAGCAACGTAAGCTTTTCACAGGCTACCGTATGCTGGCAGTCACGCTATGAGCTGTCCACCCTCATTTAGGGATGGTCCGTCAGATGGTCACGTGATCACGCTACTTATGGGAACCGGGTAACAACCTAACAAATATTTTTTCCTGGCCACTTAAGCTGGTTCTCCGCTATGGACTGGCCAGCTGCAGTTAATAGCGCGACAACGGGGCAGGGGTGGCGTATCCAAATGAGGGATGAGGAGCAAATATTTAACAAAGGACCACACACCCATGGGCCCCTATATTTCAGCGCAGACGCGCAACCAGAGCCTTGGCAAGTGAGGGCCACAGGATGACAAAGGGCACTCTGAAGAAATCCAATCACCAATGCTTTTCGTTTTACAATGGCCCAGAGGACTTTTCCTAGACCGACAGAGTTCAGAAGCTTTGTCAGAATATCATTGAGCTGCACAGAGATGTTAAGGATCCCATGAATGTGGTTTGAGATAAGTCAACAACGTGTGTCAACATGGTGAAGCCATGTTTGTGTGGAAATGTTCAACATTTTTTTTCAGATTGATTAGTGATGCAAGTTATATGAGATAGTTACGAGCATCATAGCATCTCGCAAATTTTAGCAACAAACAACTCCACGCCAGGCATTGCAGTCTGCGTAATCCACGCAGCGCTGACCTTGTGGCTAACACTGAGCCGTGGCCAACGGGTTGGAAAAAAAATGCTGACACAATTAACAGAAGAACCTTTGAGCACTTTATGACGTGAAACCGTAGATTTAGAAGGCAGCCGGGCGTATATTTCACCTGTGCACTATTTAGGTTAGTGAACTGAATGGATTGGCCTTCACTGCACCAAAAAGTGGTTGCTGGAATCTGACGGTAGAACTGGAGGAGTAAAGGTAGAATATCTATTTTAGTGCTGCTGTAGCTGTTCATTTGTCCAGAGGGCATCCTCAAAGGTTAAAAAAGAGACGCTCAGCCTTATCTTTGAACGATACGAATTGCTTTTTAATGCCGTTCGGGAGTGTTATTCCACGACGGCCGCTCTCACGCGTACGGTACCCGCCGCCTGGTGTTACTTGCAGTCGCCAACGCCGTTTGATCATGCGGAAACTGCACCCAGGCTTTCACTGTCCTTGCTTCCAAGATTGCGGTCACGCAGGCTCAAATATTCCGATAATTTGTTTCACTAGTCGTTTCCACCAAAGAATAAACATTCTGAAGCAAACATGCGATGGCTTTGTTCATTTTTTAAACTTATTTCGACCCCTCTTTTCAACGCTAACGAGACCCTATTATTTCTCTTCGGGAATATGAGCACCCCTTGAGTAGAACAGTAGCAGGAGCATTTTTGTTCCCGGTCAAGGACTGAAGACCCATTTCGTCCCGCCGCGGCGTGTCTCCCGGTAGCCATCCTGGCAGCACAGGGCGGGATTCCCTGGCCGATCCGGACGCTCTTAGAGGGATGCATCATATCGCATTGGCTCTCTCCCTGATGCGGGAGGCCTCCCGACCCGCGCAGACCGCAGCTGACCTCCGATCAACAAAGGAGCCCTCATTGACGCAACAACATTCCTGACCGCCGCAGGTGGTCAAATCATTGGCACATGGACCTCAGTTCGGCTTAACGAGCCTATGCTGGAGTTCGGTTGGAGGACCTTCTTCGGTACTTGGGACCCTGACTGGCACAGGACCCTTCCATTGACGCAATGCGAACAATCATCACAAGCTGTTATGTTTCCTTGCATTGTCAGAGGGCCCTGACAAATATAAGGGGCCTCTGTCATTCGGGGTCCCGTGCATACCCCTGCTGAGCACGTCTTCCTCTCACCGACTCGAGACCCCTTGTTGACAGAGAATGCCTTGTTCGGTACTGTGGGCTCCTGAACGGTACAGAAGCCCCATTGTTGAAGGGCCCCAACCAATGCCAATCGCAGGCTCGGCCTGGAATGAAAAGAAAATAATATCCCTGCTTAGGAAATGGGCCGCCAGAGCTCAGACCGACACCGAGCCGACAGCTCGGTGTTGCTGATCTCTGGCTGAAGCGGAGAAATGCTCTTCCTCAGGGGTTTCCAATCAGTGCAGGAGTCTTTCTAACCAACATTTAAGATCGCGGCCTCATGGGCGGGAGTCCTTAATCTGGCCTGCGGCCAACCGTTTTGGGCGCTTAGCTTCCCAATCGGACCCTTGGCCTTTGGTCTCAAGGGACCATTCGGCCCCTTTTCGGGCCCCTTGAACATCGCTCCTGGCCGACGCGGGGAATGGGTTTCACGGGCTCAGGCGGACATGAAGCCGACTGTTTTGCTCCGTGTCGAGGCCTCCTGTACAGTAGGGATAGAGAACCCCCAATGAGAGAAACCTAACGGAAGCCCTCTTACTGACATTGCAAGTCATGGTGTTACAGTTGGGTGGCTGGGTCCGAGTCAAATGAGACCCTTGATCTTTGGTCCCGAGGGGCCCTTCAGTCCCTCTTCGGACCTCCTCAAGCAAAGTCCGGGACCGACTAGGGGCCACTAGCCGAGACATGAGCCCCTGTTGTACACTCTGGGCCCCTGACCGACAAAGGGGCCCAACCAATGTTTCGGGGACCCAGACCAGTGCAAACCGTGTCCCTTGGCCTCGTTCCTGTTTAGAAAATGGGCCCTCAGGGTTCAGACTGACAGGAAGTTCGGTTCTGTTCGGTGTTCGCGGTCTCTGGCCGAGTTAGACACCCGCAGTGTCTTACGGGGTCCTCAAACGATACAGTAGGACTTCTGACAAATATTTCAGATCACGACCATACGGGCCGTGATGCTTTACGTGACCTGCAGCCAATTTCGATACTTTATATGACCTACAACCAATCCTTCGGGCCTTTATGTCTTCCAACAGGGCCATTGATAGTCTATTCCGTTGGGCCGCCAGGGCCCCTCTTCAGGTCTCATCGAACACTGCCCTCGGTCGCCTCTGGGCCCCATGCGAGCGTAAGACGTTCTGTTGGGTGCTGTGGGCCCCTGACAGATGCACTGGCACCACCAGTGTAAATCACTGGCCCCAGCTTTGTAGTTGATTGGGAAGTGGGCTCCCAGTCCATACCGATACGGAGCCGGCTGCGCGCCGCTGGTGGCGCCTGACCGGCAAATAGACCTATATCGGCTCAGCGTGTCCTCGATAGGTGCAAAGGGGCCTCTGGCTGTCATTCGATGGTTCGTTCCCGCAGACCGGGACCCCTGAGTAAGACTGACCAGCCCTTCGTGCCCTTAGACCCTCCAATCGAGCATTTGGTCGTCGGACCCGGTGGGTCCTCTAGGCTCTTCAGGCCTCCTATAACACTGCCCCTGGCCAGCTTGGGGCCCTTTGCCAGCACAGGGCCCTCGTTAGGTGATGTTGCCCCGACCATTGTAAATCGCTGGCTCCGGCTTTGTTCCCGCTTGGGAAATGGGCCCTTTGGCCCATGTCGCCACCGAGCCGACTGTGCGTTACTGATGGTGCTTGACCGACATATAGGCCCTTATCGACTCAGGGGCCCTATATCAACCCGCGGGGCCATTTGGCTGCCATTGGAGTACACAACCTCGCGGGCAGGGGCCCTGGATATGTCCTCCAGCAGGCCTTTCGGGCCCTTTGGGCCGTTAAGTCTGGCCTTTAATTGATCCGAGGGGCCCGTCGCGCCCCTCGGAATCTAAGGGGAGAGGGAGGGGGGGGGGGGGAAGCGGCGGAGCACGTGCCAACTATTGGACCCCTTGCCCCACTGTTGGTAACGGATCCGTTGGCGTCACCGAGGCCCCTGCGTCAATTTGGGATCAACTGCTCCGGCCTGAGGGCCTCCAGTGTCAGGGAGGGGACCGATGCATGATACATCTCTCTGCGGCCCTCCTGATCGATCAAGGGCTCCGGCTATCGTGTCTCCAGAATAGCGGCCGGCAAGTACGCCGGGTGGCGGATTGAAACGGAATTAATCCTTTAACCCTTGACCGGGAAAGGCAATGAGGCCACCTAGTGTTTTACTTACGAGGCCTCCTGCCCGCGAAAGGTAAGGGTCTCCTTAGTGTTCAATGTACTGGGCCCTCAGCGAACACATTCTTTGGCATGATGATGCAAATAAAAGAATCTGGGGCATCCCTCGAAATAAAATGGGACAAATCTGGTGATTTACGTGGTGTCTTTTCACCGGGAATCCCTTATCAAGCTGTGTGCCACCCGCACCCTTATCACCAAAACGTTGGCCTCTCTCCTGGAATATGGATGAAGCTTGTGGGGGGGGGGGGGGGATCCGAGATAAGATCTTTTCGCGCTTAAATGTCTAGATAAGCCCTTCTCAGGCATGAAATGCCAACAATCTCAGTTTAAAGCGTGTCATTTCATGCTTTAAGACGGACCCTACTTAAATTTACGATGGGCCGTTTCCAGGTCTGAGAGGGTCTTTTCTGTGGTCACGATGTGCCGCACCCAGATTTGAGTTTGGCCCCTTCTGAGTTTGCAATGGGCCTGTTCTGATCAGAGACGGGCTCTTATGAGTCTACAATGGGTCCATTTCAGAGCAGAATAGGCCCCTTTCTGT